CCACTGTCTATGATCTCGTCAGTAATCAAACAGCAATAATGCTGAGGAAAAAAGAAAAAACCCATAACTATGATTGTCTGTAAACTAGGGCTGTGCGATATGGACAAAAAAAGCCTATCGCGATTTCTTTGATCAATTTTGCTATTTCGATTTTAATCACGATTTTGACACACACAGACATGCTTTACAGTCATTAATGCATTCAGTGTGAAGCCTATTTCCAAAAGAAAACCAATTAGAGCTTTATCAAGAAGCTGTAACATGTCTCTAGAACAGACATAAGGCAAAATAATCACTAAGTAAAGGTGTAACAAAATGTCTCTAGAATAGACATATGGCAGAAAAAAAACATCCCGTGTCCAGGGTTTTTTTGCCATGCATTGGTCATAGAGCTCTTTGTGATGTTGCTTCAGATGTTGAACTAGATTTTTTGCGCCAAGTTCACACGTACTCCGTCTGCAGTGTGTATACAGTATGTGTATGCGGTGCAGAAGCAGCACAGACTCATTTTGCTGTCGCACAGGACGCGTTTGCAGTCCGCTCCTGATCCGCGGGTGTTTACCACAAACACAACATTTATCCATTATTTTGATTTCAAATCCAAACGTTGTTTCTGAAAATGCTTTTTCAGCATTGTGATTCTCTTTTATCACAGTACAGTAATACAATCTTTCATAGACATATTCACGTTTAAACTCAATAAATATAACTTTGTTTAACTACCACCACGAGTGCCATCTATTATTGCCTTGTTTATCTAAAAGTGCACTTTTCCTTGTTTTAAATCGAGCCAAAAAGCCATGTGTTGACTGTGAAACAGTAGACTTTAATTATATGCATTTATGGTCTCATTACTAAATTTCCGTGTCAATCCATGTACATTTTTACCACGAATAATGCGCTGTCACTTTAATTCAGCGCGTGCAGCACAGCAGAAATAGACTCCGTGCGGAAACGATCGCAGCACTGCTGCAGACGCACCGCTCCTGGAGCGCACTGCCGGACCGCAATCGCGTGCAGTGTGAACGCTCTGATCCGTTAACATGGGCACGGAAAAAATACGCACCACAGTGTGTGAACCTGGCGTTACGTTTGTATGCCCGCCGGGTCTGTTCTGTTCTCGTGCTCCATTTAGGCGCGCTGCATTCTGATAGCTGCACTCTGATAGGAGGTCGGGGGCGCGGAAAATCGTGCTATAAAGCAATTTAGAAATCGCACATGCTCAAATTGCGATTTTATGATGATTTCGATTAATCGCACAGCCCTAATGTAAACTTTCGGATACTTAAAGCACTCTCAGATACTGAAAGTACTTTTTGTTTATCACTTGTAATTATTCTTTTTCCTCCTTTATGACTTTATATTTGCTTGTATGTTTTGAAGCTATATTTAGTTGGTTCAATTCTTAACACTTTTAAAAAATTTTTTTATTTATTATTAATTTGTAATTATATTTAAAAGTAGCCATCTTATATAATTTAATAAAAATGCACAAAATAAATTTGATATAATCGTGATCCATCGTGATATCAAATCGAATCGAATCGTTGAGTTGACATGATAATCGTAATCGAATTGTAAAACCGTCTGTCTGTCTGTCTGTCTGTCTGTCTGTCTGTGATTCAGCAATTGCTACTACTTTATAGCAATTTTTTTTAATTAATTAAAAAATCAAATGTATTTATTTTTTAATTTAGATTAAATTAATTAATTTATTTATATTTTAAGGCAATGGAAGTTCTGTGTGTTTGGATGGCTTTACACTGAATTTAGCAGAAATGGTATAATGTTATCACTGGGGCGGTTGTAGTAGTGATGCTATTCATTTTATGGATGCATCAATAAAATGTTATCCGATCCGATCCAGAAAATTCTGAGTATCGTCTGATTCCAAACCGATACCAGCGCAGTTTCAATGTAGAATTTCTATACTTTGTGTTGACCTGATTGTCACTCTTGTGTGTGTTAAACAGAATGACTAAATATAGACAACTTCATTTTAATGAGAAATAACAAATGAAAAAAAATATATATAATCATAATCTATGACAAAAATACTATTATGAACTAGGTTAGTGAATAATTTAGCAGCAATAGTTATTCTAGAAAAATCATGAGTGCACAATTTTATAAAATCTAAACGTTTAGTGAAATAACTATTTAGTGGGGAACAAATAAAAGTGAATAAGTGTAGGACTAAATCTGGTAAAATGTTACACATTGCTGTAAAATACATGAATGAAAACAAGTAAATATATTTATATATAAATATAAACTATAAAATTAAAACATTCTTTTAAGTGTATAGCACAGTAACGAAGGCAGCAACATATGATAGATAAGAGTCGATAACTAAATCACAGCTCTGTTTAGTTGTTATCAGTCTTAACAGGTTTTCAATGAAGCTTCTCTTGTTTTAGATGACTGCCTAGGAACCTTTTTGTAGACTATAACAACTTTATTTTTGGGTTTTCCTGTCTTTTCTTCTGTGGTCATTCCAGTGCATGTAGTCCAGCCGCGTTTGACTAAGTGTTTTACATCTGATGGCAGTTAAAGAGCGTAAAACACATGCTATCATGCTGTTCATCAGAATCATGAGCTCTTCTGTGGTGCAAGGCTCTTGTCATCTGGCAGTCGGTGGTTTGTCGTGGGTTTGTTTAAGCTGGGAGTTTAAACTGAGCAGCTGGCTTTAATTTACTGACGCTTTAGAGCTAGTATAATGGGTTTTTCTGTTCACTTTCTCTGCTGAAGGTTAGTGCAACAGTTGCATGAAAAGACTGAGTGATTGTTATGTAAAAGCACCTCACGATTCAGTTTCAGTTCATGGAGTCACAACACGACTGCAAAACAATTCTCCATTCTGAATGCTCCGATGATTTCCTGTTTTTATGAAGCCCCTCCCTCAGAAACACGTGATGGGCTCAGATTGGTCAGCTGGCCCAGTGTTCTGTGATTGGCTAAACCACCTAGTGTGCGTTTAGAAACGTCACGCCCCTCAGCTCAGAATGTGCTCCGCTTGTATTGTAAATAATGGTGTCGTCAATATTGCTTATCAATTTGAGCCCGATTGAGAACCAGAGAAGAATATTAGTGAAGAGGATCGCGCAGAACCTGTGCAAGCTGTTTCTAGTTTCTAATTACATCTTCAACAGTGTAATTAGATTACTGTTCAAATTACTCTCTCCAAAAAGTATTTAATTACTTATTACTAATTACTTTCTAAATCCTATATCAACCTCGACAAGTTAATGATACAAGGATAGACATGAAATGTTTTTTTTTAATTCTTTCAAGTAAATAATACATAACTACATAAATGATTCTGGTCACTCTTTATATTAGAGTCCAATTATTACTATTAACTATGACTTTTGCCTCAATATACTCCTATTACTGCTTATTAATACTTAGTTAAGTAGTTGTTAAGTTTAAGAATGAGGTAGGATTAAGGATTTAGAATAAGGTCTTGCAGAATAAGAATTTTTTTAAAGTAATAATAAAACGCCAATATCCCAGTAATATTCATGCTAATAATCAACTAGTTAATAGTGAGAATTGGACACTTAAGTGTTACTAATATTCTTATTAACTCACCAAAGTATTTAAAGTGAGAAGGGTGCATAAAAAGCATGCATTTTAAGGTTAGACTTTCATTTTTGATGTTAAATCCACTATATATACTATACAGTCTATACACAGTATTAAGTTCAATTACAGAAGAAGAACTGTAATTACATTACAGAAAAAAAATAGAGTAATCCCTTACATTTCTTCAGTTGATATTTCACATTTTAGTTCAATTTGGTATATAAAAAAAAAAAAAACTGGAATAAAAATGAATTATTTAGACATAGAATAAAAAAAAATGTAAATGACAAAAACACAACAAAGTTACTAAAACTTTAACTAAAATTTAAATGTAACTTCTATATCAGTGATACTAAAATAAAACTGATTTCAACATAATACAAAACTTAGTTTTATATTACATCACTTTTTGTTTTATTTTCTGAATCTTTGCTTAAATAACACCTGCATTGATAGAAATAGCTTGAAATAGCCTACTTAAAACCCATTTAACCATTTATTGCTTGTAATTTTTCTTTATTCATTTTCTTTTAATTAATCTTTCTTTAAATAATTACTGAGAAACCCTGAAGCAATGTTTACTCAAATACTTAAAAGCTACATGTCATTGTTTAAATATTAATGCAATATTAGAAATATTATGATGTGTGAATAAACATTTATGAATGTTCTGTTTTTAATTAAAGTAGTAGGCTATTATTTTACATTTGATTACTTTTTTTTTGTCTTTTGTGCTTTCTGAATGTTTTCTTGAAAACCAAGTTTGTTGTTTATATTTATTCTGTTGCTTGCAAATTTTATTTCTTTTTTCATACCATTTTTTAATATTCATATGTAATATTATATTGTGTTGTTGTTACTATTTAACTTTAGGAGTGTGTTTAGTAGGATAACAGCGTTTGCTGTTGTATTAAAATTCATATTGTGGCAAACACCTTTCTTATTTTCTTCACGCTAGCTTTTTTCCATAGCTGTATCACTCGTGATGCATTTTAATGTCAAACAGTTTCCGTATTCCATATTCAGACGTTGCTACACCATTACACCCTCAGTATTTTCTTATGGCTTCATTTTTCTTACCTGTCTCACTTTACTAGTTCTCATTGTTTTGTTTCCTAGAAGTATTACGATTTCACAGAGATTTACAGCGGTATGCATACATCTTGACGTTCGGTATCCAGCACACGTTGTTGTTGTTGTTTTATGTAAAGTGAATGGAGTCATGCAGCAGTTTTTCGCTCGGGACGAGGGTGATTGAACTGTGCTTTAGTGCCCTGAACACTCATTTCTCCGGTACATAAGCCTGACCTTACATGCTTTGAACAAATGGCCTTAGTTTTTTTTTTTTGTGTGCCACATTATCATAAATCTGCAATGAAATTCACGCATGTTTTGTGTTTGTTGTTGCTCAGACACTGGAGGAGCCCCCTTACCTGACCGTTGGCACTGACGTGAGCGCCAAATACAGAGGGGCGTTCTGTGAGGCCAAGATCAAGACCGCCAAGAGGCTCGTCAAAGCAAAGGTGAGCTGCAAATGGGCCATTATTTCTGCTGTTATATTTCTACATGTTTTGAATCTATGGATGGTCAATGATTAGAGAAGGCTTTTATGCATGATCGACGAGTCAAAAATCAATACAGTAAATAAAGGTGGAGGTCTGTTTATTTTTGTATTGTTCATCCCTGCTTTTGAAAGTAAACAATGCCAGTCTTTATTCTAAATGTATATATTTGATTTAAAAAGTCTCTTCTGCTTAACAAGGCTGCATTTATTTGCTCAAAAATACAGGAAAAATTGTGAAATATTATTCCAGTTTAAAATGACTGTTTTCTATGTGAATGCACAGTAAAATGTTATTTACTGCTGCAAGAAAATCTGAATTTTCAGCATCATTACTCCAGTCATAAATGCTGATTTGCTGCTCTAAAAACATTTCTGATTATATAATATTATTTATTGAAAATTGTTGTGGAAAGTAAAACTTTTTTCCAAGAAAGTTCAAAAGAACAGCATTTATTTGAAGAAAAAAAAAAATCTCTATATAAATGTCTTTTACTGTCACTTTTGATCAATTTAATGCATCCTTGCTGAATAAAACTAATCATTTATTTAAAATATATATATATATATATATAAAATATGCATTTGGACTTGCTTTGTTGTGAAGTTGGAGAGAAAATGGAGTCCCGTAATGAATGTGTTTTCATTGCTGTCTCTTCTGAGGAATGGAGTGTTTTCCTCTCAAGCGTCCTCTCTCTGTCTGCTCTGCTCTCTCTCCTCATGTGTTTCTCCTGATGGCTCTCTGAGGTTTTATAATTCCTCTCTCATAGTCCTGAAATGTGATTAGCTGCCTGCTCGCAAACCAGAGACCTTGTTCAAGGTTGTAATCATATTCCTGCCGTTGTACTACCGATGACATCATTGCATCTCTCTCTCTCTCTCTCTCTCTCTCTGTCTCTCTGTCTCTCTCTCTCTCTCTCTCTCTCTCTCTCTCTCTCTCTCTCTCTCTCTCTCTCTCTCTCTCACACACACTCTCTCTCTTTCTCTCTCTTGCTCTCTCTCTCTCTCTCTCTCTCTCTCTCACACACACACACACTCTTTCTCTCTCTTTCTCTCTCTCTCTCTCTCTCTCTCTCTGTCTCTCTCTCTCTCTAGCTGTGTTTATGCATTAGAAAGAAGAGTTGTTACACGGCACATTCACACTTTAAGATTGTCAGAGAAATCAAAGCAGAGCATTGGAGCTCATCATGCTTTTGTTTTATATTCCTACAGTCTTATTCATTGATCAAGTGCATGTGTTTTTATTTCTTCCAGATTCAACGTTTGGTTTTCTGTGTTTCTGTAGCTCAAAAAAAAGTAGAGCACTAGCAGCATTAAGGTCATGGGTTTGATTCCCAGGAAACGCATGAACTGATCAATTATATTCTTTGATTTATATGGAAATCATTTTGGATAGAAGTGTCTGCCAAATGCAAAACGTGATGGAAATGTGATGTTTTGAAAACGTATTCTGTTGATATAAATATCTCATCGAGATAATGTTATCTAGCTGTCTGACCTTAAGGTTTTAATTATTATTTTTATTATTACATTGAATTTTTAGTTTCATTCTGTTTTTTTTAACAACATCAGTGATTATAAAAGGAGCGCTCTTTACTTTGTGATTCAGTCGCAAATTGAACAAAAGTTTGTTTTTCAAGGCACTTTGCGACTTTTCTTACTTCAAATACATGAAAAGTTTTCACATGAAAAAGCTTTGACAACATTTGATAGTTTATAATAGTGATTTTATGATATCAAAATATAAAGCAAAAAAGTGGAAATGAATGACTAATAAGCCAATAAGTGCTCCTTTGCTGCCATCTACTGGTTACAGTGTTAATTTGCTGTCTTTTTCAATTTTATTTTAAATAAGTGTTTGTTTATCCCATCCCATTAAAATAACTTTTAAATTGGATAATTTTTAGAGCTTTAAAGTGCTGGAAATAGTTGTGTGTTGTGAAAGTCTCTCTCAAAAGGATGCACAAACCCTGAAATGAATAACGTAAAAACATTAGACTATTTCTGTTATAACCTCATGGTTACAGTTAGTGTTACTGCTTCTGGTTTTCTACATCAGCGCTGTTTGATCTGTTTATAGCAGAACTCTGTGCAGAATTTGAATGCTTCTCACTAGATCTGGCAGAAATCTTTATTCATTCTGCGGCGAGTTTAAATGGGTCATAGGATGCTTCATGCACTTTTACAAGTTGTTTGAACTGAAATGTGTGTTGGCAGTGTGTGTACACACTAGGGGTTGCACCGACTAATCGACTTCAATGCTCTGCCATGACGCTTTAAGCTTGACGTCGACAAGTCGCTGGTCCTATAGAGGGCGCAACAGGATAAGAAATCTTTGAAGGACTTCCACATTTACGCTCCGTTTCCAAACAGTTCAAATGACAAATAAATGCATATTCAGAAAGCGCTCCACAAGACATGTGTGATTATATTACTGGATGCTCGAAATTGAACGGGAGAATGCACGTTTTAAACAGCTTATCGTACAGGTAAGTTAATCGGCGTTCTAATCTAATGCGCTGCTGCACTGTAAGGCTTCAGACAGTAGCGCGTACATCACACGCACAGAATCATTCAGCACGGAAATGTATTGTCAACACTGTTCTGTGATTTCTCAATAAAATAGCTTAGAAACTGAAAAGTTCAAGCATATATTTCTTAATAACTAAATTCCACAGCTTCACTACTAGTAGAGAGACGCTGCCAGGTAGAATTAATTCAAACACGCAATCGCTCTCACTAATGCATTCATATTAATGTAATCTTTACTGTGCTACTTTATCTGTATCTGATTTAGAACGAGCAGAAATATGTGAGAAATATAACGACCCAAATACAAAAGAACTGATTAAAAAAAGTTCTGTTGTTGGATGTAAAAATGAACAGCAGTCGTCATTTACTCCTGGCATCTGAGCCGCTGAACTCGCAGTGGATTACACTTGTTTCTGAAGGGAATGCGCCCCCGATCTACATAAATGTGTCTATGTTCGCGCGAATCATTCGTGATCCAGCTTCACCTACAGAAGAAGTGAGTATAATGTTTTGTAATGAATCTTTGCAAATCGCCTTTCCTAATAATGTGCTAGTTAGCAAGTTTCACGATGAATGCGGCTAAAGTAAACAGTCCCTCAGAGAGCGGCTCGGAAGAGAGGGGCGGGGTCAGCAGAGATCATTAACATTTAAAGGAAAATGCTACAAAATCGGCTTGATCTGAAAAGAGCTGTTTTTGACAGGGTAAAAAAAGGTGTTTTTTACACTACCATTGAGAAATTTTAACCAAACTATGTTACAGACTTTTCATGAAGACCCTAAAGAATCATATCAGCTTGTGGAAAATGGGCATCCTATGACCCCTTTAAACGTTTCTCGCTGGATCTCGCAGCGCTGTGCAGTAACGCCAAATCAACTTTGGTTTCCGAGTAAAGCTGTTCTGAGCTCGGACAAGTTTGTTTGCGCTGAACTCAATTATTGATCCGAGCTGATAAACGGTCCAGCGAGGTTTCGTTTGCCGTTTGATGTTTCTCAGATGTGACCCTGGACCACAAAACCAGTCATAAGGGTCAAAATTGAGATTTATACATCATCTGAAAGCTGAATAAATAAGCTTTCCATTGATGTATGGTTTGTTAGGCCATATTTGGCCAAGATGCAACTATTTGAAAATCTGGAATCTAAATCTAAATATTGAGAAAATCACCTTTAAAGTTGTCCAAATGAAGTTCTTAGCAAGGCTTATTACTAATCAAAAATTAAGTTTTGATATATTTGCGGTAGGAAATTTACAAAATATCTTCATGAAACATGATCTTCACTTAATATCCTAATGATTTTAGCTTGGTTTCGTTTGCCGTTTGATGTTTCTCAGATGTGACCCTGGACCACAAAACCAGTCATAAGGGTCAAAATTGAGATTTATACATCATCTGAAAGCTGAATAAATAAGCTTTCCATTGATGTATGGTTTGTTAGGCCATATTTGGCCAAGATGCAACTATTTGAAAATCTGGAATCTAAATCTAAATATTGAGAAAATCACCTTTAAAGTTGTCCAAATGAAGTTCTTAGCAAGAATTTATTTATTTATTTTTGTGACGTGACCTGGACATGTTCTTGACAGGTTTCTGTGAAATTTGTCTTTATATGAATATGTTAATCATTCAGAATCATCTGATGTATGGTATTTTATTGTAAAGGTAACTTGCCCATCTCACAGTTCATGAGAATCCCTCACAGGCGTTCCTCTGTGAGTAATGTCAGTGAGTTATCTCCAGTTCGAGTGTTGAGCGTGAATCCAGTACCAGCCAGTCAGGAGCGCTGTGGTGCGACACTGAAACCCTGTAAATATGAGTGTTTGTGTTTGTGTTTTAGGTTGGTGCTGTGGTGGAAGCCAGGAACCAAGATGGGATCTATCAGGAGGCCACCATCAACAAACTCACTGACGCTAGTTTGTACACCGTCGGTAAGACCATCTCATCTCATCTCATCTCATCCTACACTGCATTTCAGCACTGCACATGTCTTCAGATAGCTGCTTATGTGTCTGTGCCACTTCCATCCTTGTTTTATGGTTTACTTTAGGTTCTAGCATCATATGTGAGAGCAGCACAGTCAGTCTGAGATGCTGGGTAATTTTCATCTCAGGGCTCAATAATTAAAATGTATATTATTTTATATTAATTATAATTTATTATATTACTACATTTTTATAAGTAGGATCATAATAAATAATAATATTATCTTATAATATTGTAATGTTTTATAATTTAAATATTTATTATATTGTAATACCGGCAGGGATTGTAGGTGGGGGGAGTGAATGTACAGCGCTCTCTCCCACCTTCAATACCACGACTGAGGTGCCCTTGAGCAAGGCACCGAACCCCAACTGCTCCCCGGGCGCCGCAGCATAAATGTGTGTGCTCCGGGTGTGTGTTCACGGTGTGTGTGTGTTCACTGCTGTGTGTGTGCACTTTGGATGGGATAAATGCAGAGCACTAATTCCTAGTATGGGTCACTTCTGGTCGTGCATATGTGGGGTAAAGTAGTGGAGATTTTATTATTACAAAATAATGTAAAAATAATACCCATATTACCAACACGGTCCGTGTCACTAGTTAAAATTGCTTATTTCTCTGGATTTAAACATTCGTCGAAACATTTGGGATAATGTAAGTACACAAGTCAGCAAAATATATAACACTGTTCTAGTGGTTTTTGGATATTTTAATAAAAAATCTTACATTGTGCCTTTAAAGAATAGGTTATTATATATAAATATAGTATAAATATACTATTATATTTATATAACAAATATTTATATTTTATATAATATAATAATTTATATTTTTAAATCAAGTCAGATTAAACATTTTTATCAGTAGGATCATAATAAATAATTATAATAATAGTCAATTATTAAAATAAATTATTAATATAAATATAATGGTGTGTGTGTATAATATGCACATTGTTATATTTGTATTATAATTTTTTTTTTAATATTATATAATATATATATATGACAATATTTTTTAAATCAGCTGAAAACTTGTTTTTATATTAGGATTTAAAAGTAAAAAAAAAAAAGTTTCTCAAGACAATTTTACAACAAATAATTTAATTGCAAATCTACTTTATATGGTTCATAATTTCCTGTAATATTCTACTATAATGGAATATGCAGACTTTTTTGCCACACTGATCAATGGTGGTGAATTTTTTTTTAAATATTAGTAAATATAAATGTTTTTCACAATAGTCATCAACATATATTTTGTATTTGTGTTAAATATTAGTGATGTTTTTATACCTATGACAACTGAATTAGCCAGGTTTTTTTTCATGCATGTTAGTGAGAAGCATCACAGGTTGTTTGTCACTCAGCATCATAAATGAGATGAGTCCGTGTCCATCTCTCACAAAAACATAAAACAGAATGATTTCATTCCTCATATTTTTTTTGCAAATTTAATGCGAATTATAATCCACATATGTGTCTTCACATGGAGAGAAAATGAACTTGATGCGCCCTGATGAAGGCCTGTGAGTCACAGCAGATGTTTTTTGTAGCAGAAGGTTTGCGTTTGACGCTGTCGTTCTTTCAGGTCAATTTAAACCATATTGTATGTTGCAGCTCCTAATGAAGCTACAAGCCAACTGATGATTTAGTGTTCATAAACGCAAGATATAGACTCCCTTCAGCCGTTTACATGCAGAAACTGTGCCGGAAGTGCATCAAGGACCAGAGTACTGATTAAATCAATAAGTAATTCAATTGAGAAGGTTGCCCACGTTCACTGCGAGTTTCTCATTAAAGCTGAAGAGCGGTGAAGAGCGGCCGGAGCGAGAGCTGCTCTTTTAAAGCACTGATCTTACGTAACTCTGTCCTGGAGCGTTTTGTGTGTCTGATAACTCTCTCTGTCTCTCTCTCTCTCTCTCTCTCTCTCTCTCTCTTCTGGGCTCAGTGTTTAATGACGGTGATGAGAAGACCCTCAGGCGCTCGTCTCTCTGCCTGAAAGGAGCGCGACACTTCGCTGAGAGTGAGGCAAGTCCACTTTCTGCTTTCTCATTGGTTTAGATCGCTTGCAGACTCCTGCACATCACAACACTTTCACGTCACATCCTGTTCTGGACGCTAATTATATCATTTCGGATGTATTTCTATTGAAGTTTAACAGACTCCCAGACATACGCTCAGGTGATCTTGAGAACATATGAATAAAAAAAGTGCTGTCAAACGATTAATCGCATACAAAATAAAAGTTTTTGCATAATATATGTGTGTGTTCTGTGTATATTTATTATGTATACATAAATACACACACATACAGTATATATTTTGAAAATATTTACATGCGTTTACATGCATATATTTATTTTTCATATAATTTATATTATAAATAAATATATTTAATATATAAGCATGAACCTATTTTTGAACCGAGGCTATGAGTATAGTGTGTGTGTAGATTTAAATTTCTGTTCAGTCTAATCTCTAATTGTCATACCATTCGAATTTCATACCAAGAAATTCTTTGAACCCAAAAAGCAAATTATGCTCCCTTCGAACGGGTTGTCTTTAAATACAAATCGTGTGTAATCCCAGGCTATCTGTAATCAGAAGCACATTTAAAACTGGAATATAATTTAATTTCATTCACATGTGTTTCACATAATCCTTTCTGGATAAATATGTTATGTTTATATATTACATATATTTATATATAATAATATAAATGTATATACATGTAAGTATTTTCTAAATATATACTGTATGTGTATTTATGTATACATAATAAATATACACAGTACACACACATATATTATGTAAACAAAACTTTCATTTTGAATGCGATTAATCGCGATTAATCATTTGACAGCACTAGTATTTTTATGGTTTTATTTTTATTTTAGGACTGACTGGTAAATCTCGTGTCTGTTTCTCTTCCAGACGCTCGACAGGCTTCCTCTGACGAACCCCGAACACTTCGGCACTCCTGTCATCGGCAAAAAAGGAAAGCGCAGAGGCCGACGCTCCAATCCCATGTGAGCGTAATATTTTGCGATCCTGCATGTTTTGCCATTGAATCACAAAAAGCACAGTGCTGCTGGAAGTTATTGACACGTTACTCTGATAAAGAAACGTGCATGAGCGAGGAAATTAAGTGTGGTTATTAAGAGTTATTAAGTGCAATAAGCTATGGCAAAGTATGATTACACTAGTATGAAGTATCTTGCGTAATTACATTGTGATAAATATGGTACCCTAGTTATGAAAATAACAGCAAATTGTCTACAAAACTCTGGAAATTAGTACTTCAACTTAAACATTAATTTAAAATGTTTATGCTTTTTTCATGCAATATTTATATTGTGTTTTATTTCAACTCTTTCAATTAAGGATTTTTAATAGTGCATTTTAATCATAGTTGTAAAATTCCACTTCAATAAGGCCGTTCAGGACACAATTGACACGTTGTGAGTCTCATTGATTGCGTTACGCTGATAAAAACACTCCTCACCTGAAGGATGAAGCGTCTGTGTGTCTCGCTCCTGATGCTCCAGGGACGCGGCGGGTTCGTCTGGGAATACTGATTACACAGTGTTTGCTGTTGTAAATTACGTCTCTTCTTTTAGCAGTCGCACAAATAGGACAAACGCTGCCCTGGAATTCTCCATCCCCAGACACAAATCAGAGAAAAGCCAATGCTTTTCCTCCAGTGCTTCGTCTCGAACAGGACGCGTCCCATCGGCACAATGACAGATATGACTCTTGTGTAGGGTTGCAAAAAGGTGGAACATTTCCAGTCAATTTCGGAAGTATTCCAGAAATTTTGGAAACTTTCCAGGATTTTTTGGAATATTCCATGGATTTTGGGAAAGTTTCCGGACATTTTCCACCCCTTTGCAACCCTACTCTTATGTGCTCATCATTACTCCGTCAGTCACATGTGAACTTTAAGAGGCTATCATAATGTTTGGGGTGTCATTGATTAGTCAGCTAGTGGATTAGTTCTTAATCCTTAACAAGCATTTTTGCCTATTTTTCAGTAAAAATATGAAGCTAAATTGACTTGACGTCAGTGTTATTTTAGCATTATCTATACACTTTTATAGTATTTATTAACGTTTTGAATTAGCTTGTATTTTAGTTTTAGTTTGTTTAATAATTATATGTGATTTTGTCATTTTATTATGTTTTATGACTCTCCGTCGCTTTCTCTCACTGTGAGCGAAGAGCAAGAGTCTTACATAACATGCAGAATTGATGCGCTACATGTAAACGATATACTTTGTTGTATTTTCCTGTGAATTCTTCAGCTTTTAAGAACTGCCGGGTTTTCCTGTAGTAGGCGGAACTAATGTGCAAACGACAATCTCATTGGCTGGTGCTCACCTAGTATCGTCCCTGTTTTGATTTCAGCGAATCAGTTCGAGCATGCTGTTGTAAATTACGTCTCTTCTTTTAGCAGTCGCACAAATAGGACAAACGCTGCCCTGGAATTCTCCATCCCCAGACACAAATCAGAGAAAAGCCAATGCTTTTCCTCCAGTGCTTCGTCTCGAACAGGACGCGTCCCATCGGCACAATGACAGATATGACTCTTGTGTAGGGTTGCAAAAAGGTGGAACATTTCCAGTCAATTTCGGAAGTATTCCAGAAATTTTGGAAACTTTCCAGGATTTTTTGGAATATTCCATGGATTTTGGGAAAGTTTCCGGACATTTTCCACCCCTTTGCAACCCTACTCTTATGTGCTCATCATTACTCCGTCAGTCACATGTGAACTTTAAGAGGCTATCATAATGTTTGGGGTGTCATTGATTAGTCAGCTAGTGGATTAGTTCTTAATCCTTAACAAGCATTTTTGCCTATTTTTCAGTAAAAATATGAAGCTAAATTGACTTGACGTCAGTGTTATTTTAGCATTATCTATACACTTTTATAGTATTTATTAACGTTTTGAATTAGCTTGTATTTTAGTTTTAGTTTGTTTAATAATTATATGTGATTTTGTGATTTTATTATGTTTTATATGTATTTCCGTATAGCTTTCTTTTTTTCAGTTTAAGTAATTTTAGCATTTATATATATTATAGTATTTTTTAAATGTTTTAAATGAGCATTTATTTGTGTATTTTCATATGAATTTTAGTTTGTTGTACTCATTTATTTATTTTAGTTTTCGTAATTGTAGTACTTCAACTTCAACTTATTTAAAATGTTAAAGCTTTTCATGCAGTATTTATATTTTATTTCAACTTTTTCAATTACCGTGAATGGTTTTAATAGTTTTAATTTTAAAAGTAGTTTTAGAATCTAATAATAGTTGTAATTTTTTTAACAACACTGCTTGAAGCAACAATTCCAACTGTATAATTACATAAACTTTATCTTTCCTACTTAATTAGCAAATATTTTGCTACTTTATCAGTTTCTTAATATTTCCATATAGTGTTTTTTCCCCCATTATTTTAGTATTTATATAGTATTATAGTATTTATTTAGGATTTTAATTGCTTTTATTAATTTAAATTTAGTTTAAGTTTTAGTAATTTTATGTGCTTTTGTCATTTTTTAAAATAATTCCATATAGCTTTAATTTTAGTACTTAAACATACTTAATTTCAAATGTTCATTTAAAATTTTCATGCAATATTTATATTTTATCGTATTTCAGCTTTTTTTTTTAAATTACCACAAATTATTTTAAATAATTAGATTTTTATAATAGTTTAAAGGTTGTTGTTGTTTTTTATAGTTTCATAATAGTTTTATATTATAGTAATAGTTTTAATAGTTTAAAATTGCAAAATGTAAAAGTTGCATAAAGTTTGCTTTTCCTACTTAATTAGCACTTTAAAAAAAAATAACTATGACAGAGAGTGATCTTTTCCACACAGCTGTTCAGAAGAAGTAGTTGCTGTGGCAGGTTTTCTTGGATTTGTTTGGTTGTTTGAGTGAGCAGGAGTCCCTGTGGTTTATCAGGTCATGTTTATTCGTGATGCAGGCTGTTGATTGGCTCATTTAACGCTAACAAGATTGGCTCTCCTTGGCGGTGAGCTGGAGTGTCGGTTGTTAATTGAGAGCGGCCTTCAAGTCACGCTCCATATCCAGTATTGGCAAGTGAGAAGCTCGTCAGCTCACAGAGCCTAATTACTTATTATCTTCATCAGAACACGCGAGCAAAAGAAAAGCAGAGTCTTCTATTGTGCTGCTGGGATACAGGTGATGCTTATCTTTCTGTGAGTGGATCGGCTGAATCATGTTAAGCTTTATCTGGCTCTCCGTTAGAGTCCATAACTAAACGATTGGCATGTTCTCTTCCGTTAGCAGTTCTTCACTGTCTAAACGCCAAATTAAGATGCACTTGTGTGTTTGCAGTCTGAATTGAATTGAATGAAAGAGAGAAACTCTGGTAGACTTAAATGACGATGAAATTTGTTCTGGGCTATTTCCATGATTTATTTTTATTGTTTGTTTGTTTATAGTCATGGCAACCCCACTAGCACTGAAAAGCAGAATCTGAAACAGAATTGTTGATTGGTTAAAATAATTCCCTTTTTAATTTTAATTTTACATTTTATTTTAAATTGCCTTAAAATTAATTATATGCCGAGTCAGTTTTTAAAATTATTGTACTATTGAACGAAAAAAAATGTAATAGATAATAATAAAGTTGTGTTTAATTGTCATGCAAGTAATATCATAATAGTCTTTAATTTTTAATTAATCTAAAAATATATGTAATTTTCTGTATGCAAAATATAGTGTCTTATTTCTTTTTATTTGGTCAAATGTGATTTGAACATGATTTCATGAGTCATATCTAACCCTTTTTAATCGCATAAATGTAAAATGAGGTTTTATTATTGCTGCTTTAAAAATTTTTTTATTCTGCTTTGTTGATCAGCAGCAATATTTCACTCTGAATTTTAAATATGTTGTGTTATCTAGGGATGCGCCGATCCGATATTCATATCGGGTATCGGCTCCGATAGTGCCATTTTTCTCGGATCAGGTATCGGTCAGAGAGAACCGATCCAAATCCGAGATTTATTTATTTTTTTTCCAGATTGTGCGAATTATTCTGTTACTTCTGAAGCCATATGTTAGCTTAATGTGAGCTACATATGAATATTTAAGTGCTTACATTAAAGTTCACACAAACTCTTTTCTCCGCTGTGGCTGTCAGTCATTCGTTCAGCCTTTAAACCCTGCTCGCGTTCGGTTACAGCAGTCAGCTCGGTAAAGCTCTCTCCAAGATCATTCTGTGTTCCCATTATACTTGATTTGTAAATACATGTCTATGATTTAGCAAAAAGGACTTTATCTTCTTGCCGGAGTTTAATGTTTTGTTACTTGCTACCGGGTGTCTGTGAGAACAAAACACGGGCGTAGAAAAGACTATAAATAGTTTTTAACGTGCACAGTAACTGAAATTTAAAACTGTTAAAAGAAAGATCTATCATATGTTGTTGCCTTACTAAAAATATGCTATAGATTTAAAATAAATGTATTTTAATTTTATGGTATATACTTGTATATAAATACATTCATGAATGTTTTTAATGAATGTATTTTATAATACAAATAGTAATGTGTAACATTTGACAATATTTAGCACTTTTATTTGTTCCCCACAAAATATTGTTTTTCACTAAATGTTTGGATTTCTAAAATTATTGTGCACTGATTTTTCTAAAATAACTTTTGCTGCCGAATTATCCACTAACCTAGTTTATGATACATTTTTGTCATATATTATAAATATACATAGGCCTATATTTTTTCATATTTGTTTATTTCATTTTTCTTTATAATGAAGTAGTCTGTATCTAGTAGATTGTGAAAGAATGAATATCAGTTCCACACACAGAGATATATAATTTCTACATTTATTTAAATGAGGGGAAAAACTTCACTGGTATCGGATCGGAATCGGTATCGGCCAATACCGAACCATAGGTATCGGAATCGGTATCGGAAGCGAAAAAGGCGGATCGGAGCATCCCTAGTGTTATCGGGGATATTAATGTAACTCAAGCACCTTTCAGTCTGTTGTTTATTACACATTAACACATAATCTTGTTCCACAGTCAAGAAGAGGAGTCATCTTCATCGTCTAGTGAGGAAGAGGAGGGCGGTCAGCAACAAAACGAAGAGCTTTATGGCAAAGTGGTGTGTGTGGATGGAGTCGTCGCTAGTGACAAAAAGAAAACCACATGGTATCCTGCGCTGGTGAGTCACGTCTGCTGGACACAGCACAAAAATCAAGACTTTGTGCGAAGTACAACTCTATATTATGTTTTTTAAAAAGCATATTTACATAAATTTGAAGTATAAAAATGAATTGCTAAAATTACTCAAACGGAAATAAAAATAAAAAGCTAATTAAAGCTTTTTAATAATTAACGTTATGTGGAAATAAAAAAAATTACTCAAACTAAAAAAACTGAAAAAAATGTTTATGTAGTATAAATATGTACTGTGTGTGTATATATATTAGGGCTGTCAATCGTTTAAAATATTTAATCGCATGATCGTCATGAGTTAACTTGTGGGAACAGTTGCCGGACAGCGCGTGCATATCGCACAGCGCTAGTGCAGAGCCAGTGGTGGTTTTGTAGGCAAACATTAATGCCTTGAATTTTATTGCAGTGCAAATTGATTAACAGAGGTGTTACATGCGTTCTTTTCTGCTCATTAAAGATTAATCTTGCAGCTGCATTTCAGATTAATTGTAGAGGTTTGATAGAAGTGGCTGGAAGACCTGCCAAGAGATCGTTGCAATAGTCCAGCCTGGATAGACTAAGAGCTTGAACAATGAGTTGTGTTGCATGTTCTGAAAGAAAGGGCCTGATCTTCCTAATGTTGTATAAAGCAAATCTGCAGGACCGGGCAGTTTTAGCAATGTAGTCTGAGAAATTCAGCTTATCATCAGGTTTCTGACTGTTTTTGAAGGAGTCATGGTTGATGAGCCTAACTGGATGGTGACATTTTGATAAAGTGATGGGTTTGTTGAAACCACAAGCAGTTCTGTCTTAGCCAGGTTGAGTTGAAGGTGATGGTCCATCATCCAGCAAGAAATGTCTGTTAGACAAGCTGAGATGCAAGCAGCTATCGTCAGATCATCAGGATGGGATGAGAGGTAGAGCTGAGTGTCATCAGCA